ATGTAAAAAAGTATCGCAACATTTGTATTTTGTTCGCTTCAAAATAGTCCCACCCAGACACAATGCACTTATGCCAGTATTTATCTGCTCAGTGGTAGCGTGTTTCTTGAGGAGCCAGGTGCTCATTATTGTGTTGTTTCTGACCAAGGTGCGTTATCATGGTCGAAAAGCCAATTTATGTGCTTCTCTCTGAATTTTTGCTTCGACATTTTATATATAGCTTAGGTTTGTCTAGGTTACACTGGCCGGCTAATGCGATTTACATAGACGTTGGCCGTTCGAAGTGTCAAGTCTGTCTTATTGCGGTCTAAAGAGATATCTAAGACGAGTACTGGCTAAGGTCGGACAGAAACTGTTCTAACGTCTCACTCATGCCTTACATGAGACCCCTTTCTTGAGACCCCTCCATGATTGTGTCCCGTCGAGTAATGAAGTTAATAATATTCCCGCGCTATCCCAGAAAATGGTAGCCATAATCTTTGACGCCGACTTTTCCACTTTGAATTTTTTTGGTGACCTTTCTCCTTTTTTATCCTCTGCATCGACTTCTGTTTGGGCTCGGAATCATATTGACGAGTCCAAGCTTTATCGACTGTTACAATGCCGTTACGAATTACATCCAAAACATGTTGGCACAACACCAAAAAATCTTTACAACTGTCCAATCGTCGCTGCTTGTCGAGCGGAGTGGGCTTTCGCGGTACCCAATGCGCTAATGTTTTTTTCATGTATTATATAAGCAATGCAAAATCTCTCCAGCTCGTTCTTTGCTAAACTGAAATCCTTCTGTTATCTGCCACAATTTAGTTGTTCAGCCAAGTATTCAGCCAATACTAATTTCTTGAGTTTCTAAACCTTTTCTCCGGTCACGACCGTCACACAGGTGTATCTTTCTTGTTGAAACAGCCAACCCCACTTTTTCACCATCGTATATGAAGGGGCATAGTGCTGAAGAACTGATAACATCTCTTTAAAAATATCTTTCGAAAGTACGCCTCTTTTACAAGGAAGTCATTAAAAGCGCGGTGATCCAAATTGCAAGAATTTCCGATCTCTTTTGACATAGATTTTTGCTCATTTCACGAACGAAATATTAATGAACTTATCAAAAAAATTGTGTTATTTATATTAATAATGGGTCCATCAATTAATATTATCAGTAACAAGATGATGTGTCATGTCTAGCTACGCTAGGTCGGGAACTTATCAGCCGCCCCTCGTATACATATTTATATATAAATCCAAAGCAGTCTAGTAAATTTCATAACTTCTTACTCGTTTATATGGCTTACAGCGCCTATGCAATGGGTAAGTGGGCACCCGAGTAGCATCAGTAAGTTTCTGACGTGTGCTATTCGATTCAATAGAAGTTCTTTGAATTTATATGTAAGTGCATATGCACGTTACTTATATGAGGATATATCTTGTAGTCAAAGTAACTCCCTATTGGAAACGTTTGACGCAAAAATACAATAAATGTCCCGCTATACATCATATTTTTTCTACATAATTTTTTAGTTTTTCCATTGACATCGAATGGCTGGAAAATTTTGATGACAGTAATGGGCTATAGTCGTGTGGTTTGAACTGGGTACTAATATACTAGTCCTAATCAGACCAAAATCCTTGCTTCTAGGGGATATTTCTAACATGAAAACCGAAGCTCTTCATAAAATGTCATCAGCTGTTCGAAGGCGGCTTATAATAAATTGTAATTCCCTCAATTTGTTGGGTAAAACAACAAGATATATACCACATATTGTCGGAGTGGTTCGGACGAAAATTGATTCAGTATTTCAGATGTATTTATTCGAAAAAAAAAAGTTATACAATATTAATTTTGTATTAAATTCTACAAGTAAAAACATTTATGTTACGTATGCGCACTGCCCTACCATAGTGTAAATATGATAGTACGTATATGCTTACGTCACGCGAAGCTGTTACGACTTATTAAATGTGATCAAGCCTCGTACTATGCACTAGACAGACATTCAAACAAGCATACACATTTTTCTGAGGAGAGTGAGACTTGAATCTACTACTGAGCGCCATGACTATTTTTTGTATATATATGTATAAATAAGTATGTATATACATACAGATGTTGCTGATACACGTGCGCGGTAATTAATCGCGTTTTCTGGCAACGGTAAAATAACCATACATACATTTACATACAACATATGTTCGTGTGTAACTCAGGTCGGCTTTTTACAGAAAAAATATTCATACATACATACATACATATATAACAACAATAACACGAGAAAAACTCATATTTGTATATTCATCTTGTTTATTTATTTCTCTAATTTAGTAAGCTTAGATAAGTACATACTCGTATGTATATATATATATATATATACATTCTATTTAGCCAGCCAACCAACCAACCAGCCAGTCAGCCACCTTGCCACGCGACAACTTGTTGCTGTTGCAATTGACATTGCGTCTGCAGCCGTCACTGTGGCATACATACAAATACTTATATATATATATACATATGTATGTACGTTTGTATAAATGTTTGATACTGAGTATATGGAAATATTGCTGCCAGAATTGTGTCTCAGTTGAATTAATTTGAATTGAATTGCGTCAAATCGTTGAGGCGGGACGCTCAGCGTGAGACTAAATTAATGTAGTTTAACTTTGCAGAATTTCACTTACTGACGTCAGTCTAGAAAAAAAATAGTTTATTTATAAATTAAATGTTAGGCGAGACGAATATACGTATAAAAGTATCTTACATATACATTTAAGTTGGGTGGATTCAAATAAATATATACATACATATTTTACAGGAAAGTAACTCTTGATTTCCCTTCTAATGCAAATCCTGTAAGTAGTAAAGACTAAACAATGTTCTATAAGCCCTAGAAAAGCTTAAACTGCGCATATTTTGTAGTTTATGTAGTGGCTTGCTCAACCCCACCTAGAAGTAAGCAAATACAGTTTATGTCGTCGAGATCTTCTATCGCAAGGTTCAGAAAATGAATTGTTTCAACGGATTCGGACCAGAGGTGGCTTACAAAGAGGTGTTTAATATCATGTGGGGACTTATTACAGGCAATAGATATACGGGTCGGGTCTGGAAATGTAGAAGTTGAGTTCTGTAATATGTATACGTTAATTGGACCAATATTACTTACGTTTTGCAAGGCCTCGGGCCGCGAGCGACTCCGAACACACCTTTCCTCATGCGCCTACGTGGCTTAAAGTAGTTGTGCGCTAGAATGGTCTCTTGGTCGACATCCTTGAAGATATTGAAGATATTTTGTACAGAGGGTAGACGAGGACTTCGCTGGTTTTTTGAATTATGTGCTCGCTATGTAACTTGTCCTCCAAGCCAATGGCAATGGTGCGAGTGTAGATTAAGAAGATTGACATAAATTTTCTTACGATTCGAGAGAAACTCTGAATAGATAAAGAAAAGAGTGAAAAAAGCGTCAAAAGGTCAACTTGTCTGACGAGGGATAGAGCCGCCCATCTTCCACACACCATCCGAGCTCAGCGGCTTGCGAAAAGTACACAGCATTATACATGCCCTTAAAGCCCAGACAGTCCATGGCCTCAACCAAAACCAGCCTTGCGATCGATCTGTTCTAATAGCAGTGGGTCTGTCAAAACAATGAGCGAAAATCCTGATGTCGCCAGAGCACCACTTGCACAGTGAATCATCTATGCTACTAGTTAAGGATTGTAATGATATTATGTGCAAACAATATCTGCTGCGATGCTACCGAAGGGAGTACCCCAAAAAACATTTACTTGAGGCCGAGCCACCACCCAGGCACATCGGGAAGGCAGTGCAACAAGGACTACATTCAGCACTACGTACTAAAAGCGCTGGACAGAACGCCGTATCGCCTTTAAACGCCATTCGGCGAGTGTCTATCAATAACTTGAACACTTTTCCAATGAACTGCGCTCCGGAGTCAAACAAGCGAAGAGTTTGAGCTGCCTTGAGAGCCACGGGTAGTACTGTCACATTTAGGATATGGATAGTACGGACGCCTAAATTCTTTATCTTCCAGACTTGACCCCGACATACCCAACGTATATCCCACATGCGTTAATTAATAACAATAAATTTTCAATATTATCAATTTTTTGATATTTTGTATTTTATTTTTTTAATTTTATTTAAACATTTTTTTGCAATCTTTTAATTAATTCATTTTATTAAAAGGCCGAAGAAAATAAATACATTAACATAGATAAATTAATTGCATACGATTTCTCTGTTTTTAGCTGAAAATCACTTGTCGATATCTGCTAAGAAAATTATTTTTGTGGTGGCTGTTATTTAACAGCGGTTTGAATTCCCTACCCACGTTTTTCAGAAGTTGTCAGAGAGCTTATAAGTGGTGCCATGAATTTCCACCTGCTCGTTATCATAGATTCTCTGCTTGGGTTCAAAGCTAAAAATAAAGTATACTGTTGCGAAAATGCGAGGCGAATGTCAGATGAAAGAGAGAAGCCGATAACTAGTACATTCTAGAAACGATAAAACAAGAACCTTCCATAGCGAACAATTCGATGCTTCTACGCTTTCGTCTGCGAGCAGCCGACTGCTATATAAAGGCGACACTCAGCTGCAAGTCAAGCAGTGACAAAGCAAATTGGTTGGCGTTAACATCAGTGAAGACGTAAAGTGAACGCGTTGGGAATTACATTTAAGTAGAGTAAATTGTGAAAGTTGATGTTAGTGATTATAAATAGTAAAGTGCAGTATAATTGAATTGTGAATTACTGAGAAAATAAAGGACATTAGATAGAATCTTTATAACGAAAGAAACTGCAAATTAAGTTGGCGAGTTTTTATTTAGCAATCCAGAGATCGTACCCGAAGGATCTAGAAAATAATCGAGGTTGATTTAGTAAAATCGTAACAATACGAATAAAAGAGAAAACGAAACCAATTCTATTCAAAATTTAACAATTCTCAAATATTGAATGAACCAGCTGATTTGAAGTGAGATTGCTTTGCTTACCATCTGGCAGCACTCAAAATGTCAAAACATGCTGTCATTTGATTTTATTCAGTCGTCTATAAAATTTGTTGTTATTTGGTCGGAATAATTTAGTGCGTGCCAAGTGTATGAAAAAGTAGAAAAATTTGTATGCTGCAGGGCAGCAGCTGGACAAAATTAAATTCATCAAAAAATTCATCGGTTCTAAGAAACTCAGTGTGTAACCACTGTAGAAATTTTAAAATAATCAGTGTTAATTTTGTGTTATTAACATAACATATTTTTTTTTTTTTTTGAATAAAAATTAGGCCGCATACAATTTAAAGCAGCAAAAAAAAAACAAAGAATTAAAACGAGTGTATAACAATTGTTGAGGATTGCTCGAGTATGTTTATACAACTGACACGCTTCTACATACAATACATAACGGCACTTTTTATATTAATAGAAACTAATGCCATCACTTAAACGGTTATGACATACAATATTTAGCTTTATTGAATTTTCAATACAAATTGCAGGTGAGTCTCATGCAAGTCCTTGCCCATGATAATGTCTTCATTCACTTACTTGATTACTACATAAATGAATTAGGAATTCGAAAGTATTTACTAATAAGGTTATCGTATGTATGATGCATAACTTGCACTTAATGATATAAACCCACCTACTATGTATGTATATATGTATGTATGTATGTAATGTATATATTGTAGTAATCAATTTATCACCAACACAACCTACTCAAATTATTGCTTTGCATTATTATTATGAATATAAATACATATTTATATCTATGTAACTATACTTATTGGTTTATAAGGAGCAGCAACACACCTCATACAAACATTTTTTATGTTAATTTTTTTGCTTATCCATCCCATCGACCATATAGTTCGTCCACCGACAATAAGAGATATTATGTACACCCCACAAATTCTTTTGGCATTTGCCTTGGTTTGCTCTCCAAAACATATGTACGAGTATGCTTTCGCCAATTACTCTTTGTAAAGCGTAACCAAATATTAATATTCGATGGATACACCTTGTGCTCAACAATCGTCGATGTTTATGCGGCTATTTTCCGGTCAAAACTTGTTAAGTTTTTTGTTTATTTGCGTTAATACGTTGCTTACATATGAACATCCATAATAAAAGAGATGGAAATAAGTTAATTATATATTTACACAAGTTTAAAATACAAAAGCTGATAACAATACTTATTGCATATCATATACAATATCTTGAACGATTCTGCTAGTGTTTGTGTAACGCCTGGCTTATATGTACATACTGATTATCATTAATTCATTTATTATTGCCGTAAAGTGGCCAAAGGTGAAGGAATTCTTGAAATAAAATATTTTGATGATAATTGCTTTATTTAATTAATTTTTTAAAGCAAAGCTTAGCTCCTTACAACTCCAAGGTAAGATTTCAAAAGCCATTTTTTCCTATAATAATTAACTTGCCTACCGATTTATAATCCGAACATGTGTAATTGTTTTTATTTTTATTTAATTACAACTTCAACTTTATTACTCAATACACACCTGGCACAAGATCAATAACATATGTTTTTCATATGTATGTAAATGTACATAACAATTAAATAAAAAGTAATCACTATTTATTATACTATTACTATTATACTCACAAAGTTGCTGTTTTTTTAAATTAATTAATAAATTTAATTAATAAATAGATGAATGTGATGTATGCCACTTAGCACATGCAGTACATTCATAAATACATATATATGTATATATATTTAAATGTACAAAATTTACTCATTTTCATTTACTTAAATAAATATTTTAATCAATATTACAAGTATTCATATGGAATTTAACTCAAATATTCTCGTCTTTCAGCAACCACAATCAAACTGATAAGAGCAACTTCCGAGGAGCGCAACAACTACGGTGGCAGGGGTGAGGAAATTGTGAAAAATAGGAAAATATGCGCTTCAATAAGACTGGTTTAGCGTTATTAGCCTCAAATCCAGCAACAAAATTTGAGAAGGAAGGACTATTGATAATCACCGAACGTCAAGAAGGATTTTTTCGTCGCGCAGATGGTAAGAAAGGAAATGTTGCAATTCTAGTTAATTTTTCACAAAAGTGTAAGAAATGTAAAATGAAACAAGTCTCAAGGTTTTTGGGTCAACGACTGTAAAAATATGGAAAAAACAAATTCATTTTGATTATCTCGAATAAGAAAATGTTTATTATTTTTATGCATGTCACGATGTTTACTTAAGTTGTCTCCTATATTAAGTATTTCTATGGGTTAGATTAGAAATATTTGTAATTAATTGGCCTTGTGTGGGGGAAATCGAAGATATGGTCTTATGTATCATAATATTCAACTGTTTTGACCGTGCTACATCTGTTCATATGTACATATGTTTAATGCAGACATATGAATAAATGATGTATGGTGTTATATACTTCACTTTAAAGCCTAAAACGTCCAATATTAAAATATATTAATTTAATATCCCTTGGTCGTCAAAATAAAATTCTAAATTAATGAATAGTGAATTAATTTATATATAAATTTAATATATGGATAATATTTTACATTATCATATGAATTATATTAAGAGAGAGTTTAATTCAATTGTGCTGAAATATGATAAATAAATATTAATAATTGATTGGCAACTAATTATATATGTAACTTAGATTTTTCTTTTATTAATATAATTATATATAACGTATTAATATAAATATATTTAATAAAAAAATAAAAATAATATATTTATTATGTATCAGAGTGTAGCCATCGAAAATGGCTCATATATTTCGCCAATTGCACGAAAAAAAATTACTTTCTTATTAAAATCACTTTTCCGTTTTTTTTTTTTTTTTTTTTTACTATATACATACATATGTATATTATTGATATTATCTCCCATTATTATAACCATATCATATATTTTTCTCATATTTAACAGGACAATTACCATAAATAAACGAATACTTTATACACAAAACCATGTTATATCTTTTGTAACAAATATAAACAAATAGGTAAAGAAAATATTTTTTTATCACACCTAAAGCACACGGTACTAATTCATAGAACTCATAAAATATATTCATAATATTATCTATTTTGGCGCTGCACAGTTTAATCAGTATATATGTATGTATGTATACCAATTGCTTCGGCAATCTCTTAAAATTACTACACTTACACACCTTCACGCATTATAAATGGAAATTTTGGTGTTGGTTCTATTTTATTTTATTTTTTATTTTTGAGAACGTTTATTTTTAATATACATATTTATCTTACATAATCAAACTATACGTTTTTCTATAATTTCAAAATTTACTAAATATATGTAAAATACAAATTCTTCCAAAACATACACTACATAAATATGTTTGAATAGCTTATTAATTTAAAGGTGTTAATGCATGTGTATACGTATATGTGTTCTTTATGCTTTCAGTTAACTATCCCCGTTGGTGTAAACTGCGTGGTAATTTATTATTCTACCTAAAGGACCACGATCCACAATCACCTCCGACTGGGCTGCTGGTGCTGGAAAATTGTCGCCCATTGATACGAAATGAGGAGCGAGAATTTGATGGTTTTTCCTTCATTCTAGGTATGTACATATATCATGAAATATTATCGATGAAACTTAAACTCAATTTGCCTTTGTTTATTATTATTACTTTATTTTCTTATTGCAGAATTCGAAGGCAGTCAACCGCAGCGTATTTCTACGCGTACAGCCAAAGAGCGTTTGGAGTGGGTAAAGTGTATACAATTGGCATCATATGCATATTTAGATCGCCAAATAAAATATTTACAAGATCAAATTGCCAATAAAATGGGTAATCGCATCGAAGGTGGTCTACCACCGGCGAACATATCTACTTCGGCCAGTGATGCCATGCTTTTGAATGTAGCGCCTAATGCTAGAAGTGGTACATCTTCAACAGCGAACCCGGAAACAACATTAAAAGTGGAAGAAGGTGATCTTATACAATTATAAGAAATTTCAAATTGCCATATACTCGTATGTACATACATACATTTGTAATAATTTGTTAGTTTGAAACTAATGTATTTATGTAAATATTTAGTTTTTGCGTTTGCCTAAAAAAATATATATATATATAATTTATTTAAATTTTTATTATTACCATTGTCTAAAGAATTTATTTTAAAGCGTAAAGCGTCCAATATTAAATCAAATTGATTTAATATTTCATGATTTACAGGCGTAACAAAATTAATGAATTATAAGCTTATATGAATTCGAAGTATGAAAACGATATTACAATAACATGATTAATTTTCACATAATTCATATGATACAAGAGTTGAAATTAATTCTGCTTTAAAAATTAATGTGTATACTAATTATTTATGTAACCAACATTTTTTTTATTAATTTCATTACTATAATTTGGTGGTAGATAGTTTCTTATGAATCTGATTTTATCTCAGAACATTTCCAAAAAGAAAATAGCCTCGTCTATTTCTTGATTGATATTATTAATTTTTATTTGTTTTGAGATCTCTTTCGAATATATATACATACGTAGGTAATAAATTTTTATTATACTGAGTGCTGACTAAGTGCCTAAAGCTAAAACCTCCGCCTCTTTTCACGTAAATTCAATATGATTTTATCGTATATAAGATGATAGCAAAAATATATTATGTACTCGTAGTTTGGTTTCGGTTTTAGTACTCATATTGTATATTTCAAAAGTTATTTTTTATATACTCTACATTAAAACTTACTTTCCACAAAAGCATGCATTAAAACAAAATCACTGTACTTCTTTTATGATAGACTTAAAAATCGATGCGTTAAATAAATTGAATGAAAACAAAAAAAATGCACTAATAAATGCTAAGCTAATATTAAAATCAAGTTTTCGCCTTTATTTGAGTAAGCGTGTTGTGTGATAACAATAAATATGATTTCAATTTATTTGTCATTATTCCAATTTTTCATAACAACCTTCTCACATAAATTCCTAACCAATTTCCTTTGTTACATTTCTTTTACTTTCCTCACACACTTGATTCGTTACATTCGCCATGTTTATTACACTTTAGATCTAGCCGAAATACCGATTTGTGAATCTGCCTTATCATGTGATAGTCTGCCGTGCGGTATTACCGGTCGACCGCCCAATACCCGTGTCGTCTGCTCTTACCTCTCGCCTGGCGACACAATGTTATGGCGTGATCTTGCGCGTACCGAGGTAATTGAACGTTCTGCTAATCCGCAATATCTCTGCACCATACGTTTCAAGCGCAGCGATGGGTTTACAGCGGACACCTTACTACGCTTCACGGTTTATGATGTACGCGAACGCATGTCTCATACTGCTGTGCCACTTGCTTACGCGGAGGTGGCTTTAGGTGTCATACAAGTGAGTTTTTTTTTTATGTATTAGCATACAATAGACAATAATTTATTGTTTGTTTATACTGTTATAAAGGATGCTACTCGCTTTCGTATTCCATTGCGTGCGTTGAATGGCGAATGCGGTTTTATAACGATTGCCTCATGGGCACCAGAGACAGATCGCCAGTCACCGCCACGTTCCACTACACAAGTGTTTGAGGAGCAGACGAAAGGTAATGTTTACATTTATATAATTGTTATTTTATGTTTTTGAAGTTTTAATTTCGTTTCGATTAATTTTGTTATAATTTCCCTCTCTAGGACATCGTCGCTCGCAATCTTTACCACCCAAATTGGGTGTGAAGTTATTCGTACCTTTTCAAGGACTACTGCAAGTAGTTTTTACAAATCCTTTGGTAAGTTGTATGCACTTGAGTCTATGCTGCATAAAAATATATTTAAAATATATTCAACTTATCTTTCAGATTCACACATATCGCTTGCACTCGAGCATGGGTGGTGACATTAGCGTTCACGAAACAATGCTTGAAAGCAAATTTTGCTTTGTTATACCTCAGCAATTGCTGTAAGTAAAAACCCTTTCCATGTTGTTATTATACATAAAACGTATTGTTTTATATTTACTCGAACTCTTCGTTTGCTTAGGTCCATATGGATTTTACGCGAAAAGGAATTGTTACAAGAAATCTCAGGAATGGGCGAATTAGGTGGTATATGGCGCCAACGTCAAATGGATTTACTCGATAAACATTTAAAATTGTTGAAAGATTATTCACAGGCGAAACAAAATTTACAGCCACTAATGAAGGAGGATGGTGAGTTCAAATTTCAATTATGAAATTCACAAAATTTTTTGTTATTGGACTAAAACATCAGTATATGAGGCGATCCACATGAAACTTTCGAATATCGAGCTATGGACAGAAAGCGCTCGCTTCCTTGCTGCTATTTGCTACTTAATTATTTGTTTATTTATTTTATAGGTCCATCCTTCAAACGTTCCTCCGTTAAGACTGACGAATCGCTTGAATTTATACCAGTCAATTTGCATTTGCAACGAATGTGGGCACAAAATGATACATTAAATCGAACCGGTGTTCTAGACATCAATACAGTTGGTGCATTTACCCGCCACGCAGGCAAAGGACGCACTGGCGGACTAATAAAGTAATTATTGATTTATATATAATACTCTCAACAGCTATCTATATAAAATTTATCTATCATTTAAGACTACTACAGGAAACCAAAGATTCACCTTCAAAAGTGGAACAGGGCAACGCGTGTAAAGTGCAAGCCGCCAATGATGCTGTACAAGCAATTAAACAGCTACGCAAAGAGATTGTTGAAATAATGTCGCAACTACTATCGCTCGCCAAGTGTAAGAACCCCAAAGGTATGATGCCATTATGTAATGAAATGATCGCCAAAACCAAAACTCTATTGAATATATGGGAACCGAGTTTAGTAGAAGAGGCATTTGCATTTGTCGAACAACATCGCATTATTGAGGAGCCAGAAAATATATTAATGGTAATAAAATTGATTAAAATAATTTAAAACTACTAAGATATCTTTTTTAATGCCATCCCGCAGCCAATGTCACCATTTCGCAAAATTACTCAACAACTTTGCGCGCTGGATTTAAAATCACCCGAACTAGAGGATTTCGCCACACCTGTTGTTGCACCGCCCGACCTATGGCCACGCACAAAAACACCGACCGGCTGTGGTGGCCGCCCGCTATTTCGTTCCAACAGCCTTTGTCTACGCCCTTCTCCTTCAACTATGGATATAAACGCCATACACGCACTACATCGCACCGTAAAAACATACAACGAACAATTACGCAATCGTGCCGCACTAAGTAACACTGCTGCTGACGCTGAAAACGAGTCTACTGCGGAAGCTACATTCCAATCTCTCCCCGTGCATTTGAATGACCCCACAAGTGACATTGCATTTACTGAGGGCCACTTTGGTGATGTAGACGGCCTCCATGCCAACAATGGTAATGGAAATTCAACGCTTCAATTAATCGACCTAGATGATATTGATGTGGAGCAGTTGGGACATGAAGGCATCAAAATGTCCAACCCAAGTACATTTGTGCCAAATAATACTAATACGCACTACTACACGCCCACGGATCCCGAGCTGGATATTGATTACAATACTGGCACAATGCAGCATGGTAGTTTTCTCGATACAAAGATTATGAGCTCTTCCCCCTCGGCGAATTACTATCGACCCACTGAAGAGCCGGAGCCGTTGGATTTGACGCAATTGAATATAGAGGCTAGTGTTATGTGTTTAGTTAGTAAAATTAAGTTTCTATGTGGGCGTTGTGGTAGTCCTGCGATACGCTTGCGGCAACCTAAGACTAATATGAAACGCGCTGGATTCACACATTCGCCAACGCCGCCAGATCTTGTAGCTAACCAAAGTAAGGCGGTGGAAAATGTAGACAATGCATTACCAGTAGTTGTTGAGCAGACGAATGGTAATAGCAATGGTCTCAATTTGGATTTAACGCAAGATGTGAAAGTGCTCGAGCCAAGTTCGGCAGAAACAGAGCCAATCGTAAGAGATATAGATACCATAGTTGCTCCCAAAAAGGGCAACAAATTCACAGATGGCAAGTTCCAACAACATGTTGTTAAATATATGGAAGATAATTTTAAATTTTCCTTCTATCTCCTATCCTTCAGGTCTCGATTTATCACTTACCACTGATTGGGCTTCCGAGTTGCGCCCCTCTATGCGTAAACTACGTCATGCCATGGACGGTCTGCTGAAAACTGCGCGTCTAATGCATTCCGTGCAGCGTTTGCAACAGGATATGAAGCGTAACAGCATCAATTTGGAAATCATGTACAGACGAGATGTGTGCTTTTCACAAGCGGTGAGTGTTTCATTGACTACAAATAAAAAATGTTAAGCTTATTTAATTGGTACTTTCATCCTTCTTGAAGTTGACTGCTCTTACCAGCGCACTTATGGCAAAATTTTGGGGTACTGAAATTACTGAAAACTTTGTAAAGATTCTTAAGGATTTAGGACCATTAGCATATTTTGAAGGTTTGCTCTCGCTGTACGGCAACGAAACGGATATGTGGGGTGATATGTGCATTGCCATTGAAGATCTCTCGGCAGTCAATTTTACACTAACAAGGAGTGGTACGCAAAAGTATGTGTTTTTCAAGTACAAATACAAAAACCTGAATTTCAGTTTTATAACAAATAAGCTAATTTTCCTTTTCTTCTTTCATACCCTGATCCATAGCAGCGATGCACGTACACTAGTGCCTATGCCGCGCGTCACAGGCTCAAGGCAATCTTTAAATGTCTTTCTGCCAGTGCCCGAACATGTATACGCTATTTTGCCTAAACAGGAGACACTTACCTTCAAGTTAACTCCCGTCTTCTTTAATATTGGCATCAACGAAAAGGCAACATTGGCCGAAACTTTGGGACTAACGCGAGAACAGCATCGCTCTAATTGGGATAATTTTGTGCGTCTGAAACAGTATTATAGTCGTTATCGTAAATTACAACTATCAACACCGGACACACCCAGCAAACATGAACCACATCCGCCCGCAAGTCAAGCGCTCGCCAATATACTGGCGTTCATGGAGGATCAGCTGCGTTCGAATGTAATGAAAAATGTGAAAATTTTACATTTAGCCGAAGATGCATGTCGTCTAATGTCTGGCTTACGTTTCACATCGTGTAAAAGTGCCAAAGATCGTACGGGCATGTCGGTGACATTGGAGCAGTGTCGTGTGTTGGTGCAAGAGTTCCATTTGCCGGCCAAAAGTGTGCCATTAGTGCTTAGCACAATGCGTAGGTGAGTATATAAATACATACCTACTTACATTTTAATGCAATTACCAAACGCAACATTTTCTCTCCTCGCAGCGACGGCACGCGCATGGATAACGTTTTCAAAAATATCGATAAGCGCAAATATGCGTTCAACGTGCCACAATTGATTTCGTTGCCGGCAATGTATCGGCCACCAACTGGTTCCTACGCCAAAGGAGAGACCTAAAAGGATATGGCGTTTTTTTTTAAATAGTTGGCAAAAGGCAAATCGGTAGAAGTTGTTGAATTTAAGTAGTCAGAGAGAAAGTTAAAACTATACACACATACATACATACATATATACATATATTGGAATCAACATATTGAAGTGAAGAAGTAAGAACCTTCCTTAACCTCATAAGTTAATTGAATTTAGCAGACTTGGTAAAACAAATTAAAATTATTGAATATAACCTCAAATAAGTTTATGAAATGAATTGTTGAATTTTTGTCACACATTTTGAGAAAATATGCATATTTATGAACACTTATAGAAATAAGTTTTAAGTTTTACACACAAAGAAAAATCAAATGGTGCGCCGAATATGTAAATTTGATAATCGAGAGTTAAAGTATAATTATTAAATGACTGTGTAAGTTTTATTAAACATTTTTTAGTTACTTCCGTTAGGTTTATACAATATTTTCCAACTGACCAAAGCAATTTTAATGGTGTGCAATTATTTAATTAAAGTAATTTATGAAACATCAACGTCTATAATTTTAAGTGGTATTATTGCCTTACATACTTACATATACTCGATAGTTTTCAATTAAATGAATTTATTGGTTGTTTCTTATTAGGTATTTCAATATATTCTATATACATATATATTAGGTCACTTGAAGAATATAAACTTAATATTAATTAAATAGCGGCTTTCAGTTTCGAAATGGTTCCAACTGACTTAAATTTTCTACTTCGAATCAAAAGTCCAAGTAAGCGGCTCGACGTATTTTTCCAACATTGTGAAAAAATTTTTAGCAACGTGTACTTACTAAGTCGAACGGGGCACAGATCTTAGGTTAAGCCTTTTTTGTGCCAACTTTTTTTTGTCAATGGAATCTTATATCTTATAACAAGAGACTCCTTTCATGGTATAAATATACCTACGTCACCGATTTATAAAAAAAAAAAGAATTTAATAAAATAACAATTGTGCCAAACATTAATTAATGAGTACATACATAATAAGTATAATTTTTTTTTGTCTCTAATGCAAGTTTGGAAATCGCAATAAAAACAAACCTACTTTGGCAAATGAGTTTTCCTAAAAAAATACTATTAAGTTTTCTATTTGTAAAAATATATTTTTTGTTAACACATATTTTAGAGAAAATCGTTAGGAAGTCGTAAAGAAATGTTGAGATGTATGATATAAAAACAACGGTTGTATGATGTAAGATTGATGCACTTAAATTTTATGTACTAAACAAAAAACATTAAAAGGAAAATTTTCATTGTACTTATATTTATAAAATAATCACATAATAAAAATTCACTAGTTACAACATATAAAATTGTAGAAAATTACTCGTGTGTAGATTTAATATTTATTCTTTCCATTTTTGGAGAATTTTAAAACATGTCGGAATATGTAGGTTAAAATAGAAAAATAATGAAGTTTTCCAACATCTTCAGAAAGAACTCTCACAAAGCTTTAAATTAAAAAAAATTGAAATTTGAATGTTTTATTTTTATTTTATTGCTTTTTATTATAATTCTAAAACATGTAACGGTTAAAATTTTGCGCAGCTTTACTTACAATTCAACAAAACTACGCTTATTTGTAGTCATTAATGCGGCCAATACCCAATCGCCGTTTTCGTATTTCTGTTTTCAACCATGATGGCACACCACGTATTGGATGCGCATTTGGGAATTGCAACGGTTTTTCAGGACCCTCAAATGGATGCGATTTGGCTAAATTTCGCTCCAGATATTCTTGGTTAACATCTCTTGGATCGCGATAACGATCTAAATACAAATTAAATGCCTGCTTCAATGGGAAGAATTTCTGATCGGCCAAATATGGTTTGGGGAAATCATATTCGAATATTGGCTCTTTGATATCTGTTGAAAGAGTAGTCAAAGCAGATATTAAAAAATTAATAATTCACTTTATGTATGTGTGTATGTTTACTTACTCAGAACATTATGGTAAAATTTCGTGAGCGAAGTATCCCAATCACTTTGGAAAAATGCAAGTCCAGCTGGTGTTATATTTTCCTGTTGTTCTCGATAGAAATCGAGTGTTCTAAATGTACGCTTTTCCAAATTGTTACTTTCGCTTTTTGGAAGTTTGTATTTACTAAAATCTAATTTTGCATTTTGTTTATATAGCACAAATATCATGCGTTGGTAACCAACCCCCTTCGGTGGAAAAGGTTGCAAATATTCTACTAAAACCTCTCCCTGCTTAACATCGCCATTTGGAATATTCGAGCTGTAGAAAAAAGATTGAATACATAATTATTTTAAGTTATTAAAAAAAAAAATATCGAGAAAAACATACATGAACCAATGAACGTATTCGGAAGAACTATCAGTAAAGTGAGCGTCCGGATTAGTGGCTACAAGTGTCCAGAAACAATCTTCTTTTGTTTTCTAAAAGCAAACCAAATTACGATATTGTAGGTCCAATGAATAATTGAAATTTTATAAATATTCCTCACCTTTCCAGTTATTGGATCGATCGTGCCATCGAAACTAACTTCAGGCGCATTTGCGGCTTCTGCAGGTTTTATAACGTTGCCATTGTACACGGGGCTGAATGTGCCGGCTTCAACTTCATACTGTAACGGTAGATAATTTACAATTTAAACTGTATTGCATGAATATGATTGTTACAAACCTGAATATTCAATGCTACGCGCGGCACAAAATATGCCAAGCCGAATAAGTCATCGAAAACGCCATAATGATCAGCAATGACACGTAAATCGAATTGTCCTGTAGTTGCCCGATACTCTTTCTGCACTTCATCCAAATCAATTAGCACTACAAATATAATGCAAAGAAACAGTATTAAAATAAAAGCTATATTTCCCACTAAATTAAAATTACATTTATTAGAACGAGCCAATTTCTCAAGCTCCTCATTCGAACGCCGAGCCTTCAAATGTGTTAGCCTCTGTTTCAACTGTTCTGAGCGTGAAGACTTCAAATGTGGGAAGCCAATGTTTACACGTGCCGTCAGCTCCGGATCTTTGGCATTTTCCTCTAAAATTAATTAAAAAAGAATGCAATTTAACAAGAGTTTGTAATACGTAACAAATTTTTGGAAAAAGCAACTAACATGCTTTTACAATCGCTCACCCTGCAGTCGTTGTTCTAATGATTTTGCTACACCCGGCCGCTTGCCACGAATTGTGTGTCCAAGACGTGCAGGTATTAGCAAAGGATTACTATTACGTATAACCGAAGTAAAGTTACTTTTAATTAACAAATTAGCCATTTTCACTGACCGATAAAAGAAAAACACAACCTAATATTTTCCAATAAGTGGTCAAAAACAGCTGTTTAGATGTACTTGTTCACAATAAGGAAATCCGCTTTCAATCACAATAAACATGGCACCATATTAAGCTGTGTTTACATCGCAGACGAGCTTACTTAAATTGACATAAAATATATTTGTCTTACATAAATAGTGAGCCACATGAGAAAAGAAATTACTGATCAGCTAAGGAGTTACTGGAAAGTTAAAGAAAGAAAGATTTAAGACTTAACTGTTTTGGAAATATTTCCAGGACACGCTCATTAGTATTTTTTAGGAGAATCCCCTGAATAGGAGCGTGTCCAACCCTGTGTGTTTTTTGAGAATATTTTTGGGCAAATCTATATCCTTTTCTTGTTTTATACTCAACAAGTTTAGAGAAATAATGTGAATAAGAACTCATTGTATTTTTTTGAAATTTTTGTGACTGCCCTAATGAAGTCTGATAAAAGTTATGAAAAATCGAAATTTCAGTATTTCATTTATCGGAAAAAAACTGCTTGCCTGCAGCTATTGGAATTATACATACATACAAATATGTATGTATGTACAATACATACGAACTTCCATTTATACATTCACATGCACTGAATAACACCAAATTTGGCATACACAAAAAAGCCGGGAAATCATATGGTCATAAATTATTACACGAGCAAATACAACCCTCATCAATGCAATGCGACAAAACGTATTCAATGCAAAAGACAAAACCAAAAGGAAAAGAGAAACGCCGCACAACTTTTTTCACGCATGCGCTCAACCGGCCTAGCCCGGCATATATTCGTACACCGTCAAGTGCAGTGCCCGCACCGGTCGCCATGTGGCCAAGCCCAAAGCAGCAAAATCCAGCCGTTACTAACGCATACACATACAATCAGGGAGGTCGATGGCAAATTATACAAAAAAAAGAGCCATGCTTATGTATATATATATATATATGTGTATGTATATACGTACATATTTAAAGGGGCGCAACGCGTTGTTGCCAAATTTCATGTAGGAAGCATGCGAGAAATTTCTAAATGTTTCGAGAGTAATTCTGTGTGTGTATGTGTGTTTCATAAAAATAATAAAAAAAAATATGCGGCATGAGTTTTTTTCCTACAGCTTGCAGTTTAGTGTACTTTTAGGAGCAATGCCATTAGTCAGCGCTTGATAAAGTGCACCAACCGTCCGTTTTCACTTTTTATGAAGCCTGTGCGGCGGCCGCGATGCAGTGACGAGGAAAGAATTTCGTATTAGTAACCGCAGGCTGAACTGGTCTCAAGTGCTGTGCTGGCGCAGTGTGAAGCGGTGTTATAATGCTTTATGCAAATATACAAAAAACATACATACATATGTATGACTAGACGCGGCAGATTGTGGGTGAGACTGGGACTGCGACAGCTTCTAGCTTTGACAATCTGGAAGATATTTCGCTCGTAGCTATACATATCAAACATACTATACATATGATATGTTCCTGCTATATGTACATAAAGATATGTAAAAGTATGTATGTATGTATGCATGTGTGTGTACATACGTGTACTGTCTTTATGATTCAGAAGGTTCTCAGTCGTTCATACATATGTAGATATGTACATATATGTATGTATGTCCTTATATGTACATATGCATCAATTAGGATTCTTATACATACACGTACATATGTATATGCGCACATATGTATACCCGTGAATTGTGTGCAAATATAAATTTGAACTTGAACTTCCTCTCTTTTGCACTGTTTTACCTGCGTATTCCCATTGTTTAAATTCTCTCTTTATTTTCGTTTCCGTTTGCCTTTTCGACGGCGTTTTCTTTCGGAGCACACACCCAATTAGTAAAAGCAAATTACTTGTTTCGTACGTTATAATCAAATCAATAAGTAAATGTCCGTATATTTGAAGCCTTCTTCTAGGCGGACATTGGCCTTTGATTTTAACTTATGGATATACATGTATATACATACGTATTTATATTTGTATATTCTTGTATCGACCTTTCGTTCATTAATATTCATAAGCGTATGTACTTCTCTCTATACGGGCTTAAGTGTTTCATACATACATATGTATATACGATAACGCATAAATTTTAAGAAATCTTGGCTGCAGTACCTGGACAATGTTGATTTGAAATCAGTCAACTTTTAACGGCTCAAATTGCTTATATATAATTCTCGCTTTGTGGCCGTTGAAGCAATTTTCAGCCGAACCCCTCCTCCATTTTGTGGGTTGCGTCTCGATGTTTTTCCTACAAGGTGAACGGCTCTAGGATTTTGTTGAGGAGCTCTTATTTCAGTCAGAAATACACCAGGCTGGTAGACAATGCTTACGCGATTATAGCCGAGTTAACAACAGTGCGCCATTCATTCCTTTCTTTTCGCTGTTTGGCGCCAATTGGAAGTACCAAGCACAGCCAAATCCCTTTTCGCCTGGTATTTTCAACGGTGTGGAGGTCTTACTCTTCCTTGCTTTCACCTTTGCTTAGTCGGCATAGTCGCAGGCTCTTGATTCACTGAACAACTTCAGTGCCGCCGTATATCTCGTACGGTATTATCTGCTCTCAACGGGCTGAGGACCATAAATCTTGCGCATCGCTCATGTCTCCGCACCATATAGCGACTTCTAGAATTTGTCGAAAGAGGACTCTTATTTTAAATTGCCTTAGCAGTGAAAGAAGCATCTGTTGGCGTTGCTCGTTTCAAGATAGACGGAATTAAAATTATGATTGTTAACTGTGACATGGGAGAAAGTATTCACTTCGAGGGTATAAATTGAACTTTAAAAAAGAAAAGATCCACATCATTGTATTCCATTGTGATATTGTGTGTTGCATCCTGCCGAGTAGAAATCAGCTTCAACCAAAAATAAGGCTCAAAGATCGGAGAAGACTCATGTAGAAGACAAAGAGAGGATTTCGCAGCTGAGGCAGCAGTTCCACCAACCTGCTTAATGGCATTAAAGATTAAACATCAGATGAAAGCGAGCTCAATCCGTCCGATTGATATCTATGGAACAGACTTACCTAGACATTAACCGACCTTAATTTAAAACCAACTTTTTTTTTAAACTCGAACCCTGGTTATTCGATTTGTATTACTAAATGCTAGGCACTGAGCTATCGACTTTGAGCAAAAGCCAAAACTCTATAAGAAACGGGTAGGAACTCTCCGCACCGTTCGATAGTAAAGGAGATTTCAGGCAAGGCAACTCTTAATCTTCTGATTTCTTCTGTCTATTATGTTGACATATTATGGAATCATTCTTAACACCAACAACAATGCCAGCCTTGAAATCCAACAGAGAATCACTTTTGCCAACATATGCTACTTGAAATGAGTAGGCAATCGAGGTCTGCGGCTATGCTGACTAGGTCATGTGGTCCGGAAGAAGAAATACAAGTACACTCCTGCTTTAGAAATTGTGGACGAAGTACCTACCGGTGGAAACAGAAGAAGAAGAAAGAATACCTCCACCCCGTTGGGAATATAAGGTGGTCCTGGCTTCACTTGGTATCCCCAATCAGCTTAGAAGTTACACAAAGCTGATTTTTGGCGAAAAACTGACGAAGAATGAATGAAACTGTACCTTTTCGAAAAAAAAATATTGTTTTCGGAGCCAAACGAGATTGACATTACTCAGACATATATATCACCTTTCTAAATGATATTGACTGATCCATTTGAAATGCCAACCAAATCAGGAAGCTCTGCACTTGTCAATCGCGAGTTTAGAGCATCAACTCTGTGATTTTTTCATACGAAATGATACAATCACAACTAATTTAATGCACATAGCTGTAGTAACTTGAAATAATGTAGTTATTTATATCCACATGCAAGTGCACTTATGCAGATATCATACATATAAACACAATGTACAACAAAAATCTGTAAAGTTTTACAAAATTTTCATATCTCTTTTTACGATATTTTATTCTTTCTTTATTTTTTCTTGTCTTCCCACAAACATATCAACTATAACTCTGGCTCGCACATACATACATATGTATGTGCCTTGCATAAATAATTTTTAACGAACATCCGTTTTAGAGTTTATTTTTAAATCCTCAACGAATAAAGTTGACATCACTTTATGCTTTAGAGGTCATTTTGTTTGTGGATAATGTTTAATGGAAATATATATATGTATATATGGTCTTGCATATATAGTCGTAAATAAAAGTTCTGAGTTCTGACGGATATGAATGCGTGCTTGTTCAATGGACTCTTAAATTTACCTTACAAATGTACAAATTTTTAACTTTTTAGCAATAAAAAATTCATTAAATTAATAAAATTTGCATCTATTGGTATTTGGGAGTTATAATAGTTGAAATACACATACACGGATATATCAAGCTGTCTTCAAATAATAATTTTTAGTTTTTATTTGGTGCTTCCTTATTATTGGACTTTTTATTTATATTTATTATATACGTACATATGTGTGTTTGCATATAAAATTTTGAATAAAAATGGAAGTAAAATAAAATTAAAAAAGAAAAATTAAATGGAAATAAAATAAAAATTATAATAGAATTAAATAGCATGAAATAAATATAAGTAAAACAAAATAAAAACAAAAACGAAGTTAAATGAAATATTAAATAAAAGTAAATAAACTAGAACAAATCTTAATTTAAAAACTTATAAAGGAAATTAAATCAAATTAAATAAAAATTAAAAAAAAATAAGATATAAAATATGAAAAAAAAACATAATAGAATATTTAAATAGTACAAATAAAATAGTGATACAAAATAAAAGAATAAAAAATAGAATTGAATAAAATTAAAAAAACTCGAAATAAACAAAGATCAAATGAACTAAAAAAGAATAGAAAAAATAAAATAAAAAAATTAAAATAAAATAAGGAAAAAAATAAAATAATTAACAAAATAAAAGAGTAAAATAAAATAGAATAAATAAAGTAAAATGAAATAAAGCGAATGAAAAACTGAAATAACGAAATCAAATAAGAAAAATAATAACAGCAAAAAAATTATATAAAGC